ATGAACGTGCTTTACCATTCTGGAAATTAGAGATTAAGACCTTTCCAACGCGTATAAGCTCATTTCTAGAAGTAACCTGAGCTGCACGCATTGTTCTGTTGAGGTCGTCAGACTTAATCTCTAATTAGTTCTCTCCAGATTTGCACGATTTCCATCATGCTCTTCTCCACGCCGTCCTCCTCACTAACCTGTATCCCCACCCTCTCCTCCCCTCCACCACCCCCACCGAGCTGTGGACGTCAACTAAACCCGACGTCTCACCCCTGCGCGTCTGGGGTTCCAAGGCGTATGTTCTCATACACCCAGCCGACCGCTCATGCATGGCAGGGAAGCTCGCCTCCAAGAGTCTACCCTGTGTATTCCTTGGTCACAACACCTCCTCCCCTAACTACCTATTCCTTCATCCCCCCTCAAGTCGCCTCATTCGTAGTCGGGACGTCATCTTTGACGAATCCTCCCCGTACTACACCTCTCTTGCCTCACCTGACCCACTCACCATTCCTCCTCGCCCCTTCATCCCCTCTGACACTGTCACCCCCCCCCTCCTTTCCCCTCTCCCTCTTATTCCCCCAACCCCAGCACCTCCTCCTCCAACCCCCCAGGTGTCTTCTCCCCTTGTCCTTCGCCACCGCCCTCATACTCGGTCCATGGATCCCCTCTTTGGTCCGCCCTTAGCCCCTCCCTCCCCTCAGGCAAAGGCACCCGCTCCAGCACCCTATGCTTCCACCTCCGCACCCGCCGCAGCAGCTTCTGCCACTAAACCAGTGCCTGCCCCGGTCGCCGCACCCGCAGCAGTTGCCCCGGTCAAGCAGCCGTGCAGCCGGGAGTCGCAGAGTCGCCGTGTTGCAGCCTCCCCCCTCAGCAGCGCAGCAGACTTGCAACACCACCCTCCCTTCCTCCTCCTTTCTCTCCCCTCCTCATCGAAGACTCCCATGGTGAATTTCTTCGCCTCCACCTATTCTCAAACACCCAAGTAGTCGCCTTCAGCATGACCGGCGCCCCGGTACTTGTCTTCTCTGGCGCGACCATCATCTTCGAGCCAAGAGATTATCACGAAGTTATGACATGCCCCGACCACCCTCATTGGGGCAAGGCAGTCCTCAAAGAGAATGAGGCCTTTGTCCGCAACAGCACCTTCATCGACGTACCCCGCCCGCTCAACCACAACGTGGTCAAGGGCAAATGGGTATTTCGGGTCAAGCTCCTCCCTGGCGACGACCCGGTCTATAAGGCCCGCTACTGCGCCAAAGGATTCACGCAGCGGTACGGCCATGACTTCCTTGACACCTACTCGCCGACCGCCACTCCCCCTGTCGTCCGCGTGTTCTTGGACTTCGTCGGCCGGCGCGGCATGATCATGCACTCGATGAATGTCACCACGGCATTTCTCCAAGGTGAACTCCATGAGCGCATCTTCATGGAGCATCCCGAGGGCTGGCACCTCCCTTGCCCTCCCAACACCGTTTGGAAACTTCGCCGCCCGGTCTACGGCCTCAAGCAAGCTCCTCGGGAATGGCATGCCAAGCTCTCCAGCACTCTCCGTGCTCTTGGTTTTCGCCCTTCCCGGGCTTCCTCCTGCCTCTTCCTGCGCACCTCCCCCTCCCCCTTCTACATCCTCGTCTACGTCGATGACATGCTTCTTGCCGCTGACAACAAAGCAAACCTACAACAGGTCAAGGATGAGCTGCAGAAGCGCCTCCTCTGCAAGGACCTGGGGGAGGTCCGTAACTACCTCGGGATGGAGATTTCTCACAATCGTGCGGCTAGGACCATCTCCCTCTCTCAGGCATTCTACCTCGAGAAGGTCCTTGAATGCTTCGAGATGGCCACGGCCAAACCCGTCTCCACACCCCTCCAAGTCGGCCACCAGCTCTCGCCGACATCCACCCACGGTTCCTCCACCAGTCCTTACGCTGAGATGGTCGGGTCCCTGATGTACGCCATGATGTGCACTCGCCCCGACCTCGCCTACCCTATCAGTGTCCTAGCGCGCTTTGTCAGCGCTGGCAAACACACTCCCGAGCACTGGCAAGCGGCCAAGCGCGTTCTCCGCTATATCAAAGGCACCAAGGACTATGTCCTCACCTTGGGTGGCCCCACCCCTCCTCAGCTCACTGGCTATAGCGACTCCTCTTGGGCGGATTCTCAGCCCGATCGTCGCAGCTCACAGGAAATAAGTCACATCGAGCTCCGACACAACTTCGTTCGTGAGCTCCTCCGGGCTGGACACCTCACCGTGCGCAAGATTGACTCTTCAGCCAACCTTGCCGACAACTTCACCAAGGCCCTCCCTCGTCGTCCCCATGCGGCTCTCCTTCGCCTTCTAGGTCTTGCCCCTCCCTCACAGGGGACTATCTGATTCAGGGGTTGCTTCTCCTCACCTTCCCAAGACTTATGGCACTCTGTAGGCTAAGGGGTTGTGTTAGAATATTCTCCCTTTATTCTATTAGCCTACATCGTTTCATTGTCTTAGGTACTTATAAGCACCCCACTAGGGTGTATACACCCAAGTTGGGGGTTGGGCTCCCAACCTTGTTGGGTTCCCAAATTGGTTGGGCTCCCAATTATTGGAACCCCTAATAATCCCAACCAAGATTATTGGACCCACCAATAATCTTGGCTAGGATTATTGGACCCCCAATAAGTTGGCCAACTCAACTTATTGGGGTCACCAATAATCGTGGTCACCTCCCAACCAAAACCCCCCCTCCCTCCTACTCCTCACCTATCTATACCTACTCCTTTCCTAATACAATCATCACTTGAGTTTCTCACAGCTGGTACTGACAGGTGACTGCGCTGGAGCTGCCACCCGACACCGAGCTGCACCCGCCCCCCCCACGACCACTTCCACTAGCGCCGCCAGTCCACCACGGTGGCGAGGGTCCCCACGGTGACTGCTGCGGCGGCTGCGGCTGCTGAGTCTGCTGCTGAGGTTGCGTCTGCTGCTGCGGCTGGACCGGGGCACCAGCCCCGGTCCCCTCGTCCGAACCACCGTCCCCACCCTCATCGCCACCACCCTCCCCACCTCCACCCCTCTTCCCCCCACCACGCCCCCCCTTGGAGCGGCGACCCTTACCCCGACGCTTCTGCGCTGCGGCCGCAGCAACGGTCTCAAGAACAGCAGCAGAGACGTCAGAGTAAGTGCACTGGGAGGGAGCACAGCCCTAAAAGATAGGCACCACCGCAATACTGGTAGACTGAGCGATACTGTGCTGGCGGGTCTCTATCTCAGAAAGGGCAGTGACAAAGGCAGTAAGGGTGAGGTCACCCGGGTGCTGACTAAGAAGGTGGTCGCGGGCTGTGGCTAGGTGGTCAGGGAGGCGCGTGGCGATGAGATAAAGGGTGGCACAGAACGGCGGCGGGAAAGCAGTGAGCTGTGCCTCAGTGCTAGCAGCGCAGTAGCTTGTCTCAAGCGCTCAAAAGTGCGCGGCAAAGTTGGCGACAATGGGGAAGGACGCAAGATCAGGGAACAGCATGGGAAGGATCCGGTGACTAGCAGAGGCAGTGGCAGGGGTGGAATAGCATGCAATGACAGCATCTAAGAAAGCCTGGGCGTTTGCTACGGTGGTAAAGCGAGGACGCTCAGACAGCGGGAGCGCGTGACTGATAGCAAGCTGTGCGACGGCGTCGCGCGAGTCCCAGATGGGACGAACAAGCGCAGCAGCGGAAAAGGCCTCACGCTCAGCAGTGGTGGGGGCATCAAGAAGGGCAGCAAGCGCAGGGGGGCAGGGAAGCAGACCAGCGACATGAACAGCCAGGGAGTGACCGTCCTGGCGCTGACCTGTAAGATGACGACGGAGGTCGACGAGCCACGCCTCGAAGTCTAACGCCCAACCCTTCGCGTCGAGACGGAGGTGGGACTCCGCCATCGCAACTGCTGTAGTTGCAGACTGCCGCTGAGAGGGTGAGGAGGAAAGGCGCAGGAAAGCGGTGGAGAGCGGAGGAATGCGGTGGAGAGTGGTGGAGAGCGGTCGAGTGCGGTGGAGCACGGTGGAGTGCGGTGGAGAGCGGTGGAGTGCAATGGAGTGCAGTGGAGTACGGTGGAGTGCGGTGGAGAGTGGTGGAGACAGCCGGCAGGGGAGCCGGTGCTGAAGGGAGCCAAGTCCGGTAGGTCGGGGGCGGCAGAGGGACGCGGCGGTGCAGGGACACGGCGGCTCCGCTGCGCTGCTGTTCGGCAGGGTGGCCGCTGAGGCGGTGGCCAGCTAACCAGGGGCCGGCTGGCTGAGGGCCGGCGGGGCGCCCAGGCTGGAGGGGCGCTAACGAGGCCGGCGGGGCGCACGGGGCCGACAGGGCGCAAACGGGACCGACGGAGCGCTAAGGGGCCAGCAGGGCGCAATGGGGCCAGCGGGGCGCACGGTGCCAGACGGGCGCGACGGGGCTAGCGGGGCGCTAACGGGGCCGACAGGGCGCTAACGGGCCAGCGGTGCGAGTGGGGCCAGCTGGGGCACACGGGGCCGACTGGGCGCTAAGGGGCCAGCGGGGCGTACGGGGCCAGACGGGCGCGACAAGGCCAGCGGGGCGCGAACGGGGCCGACGGGGCACGAACGGGCCAGCGGTGCGAGTGGGGCCAGCGGGGCGCACGGGGCTAGCGGGGCACTAACAGGCCAGCGGGGCGTACGGGGCCGACAGGGCACAAAGGGGGGCCAGCAGGGCGCACGGGGCCAGACGGGCACGACGGGGCCAGCGGGGCGCACGGGGCCGACGGGGCGCTAAGGGGCCAGCAGGGCGCGGTAGGGCCAGCGGGGAGCACGGGGCTAGAGGGGCGCTAACGGGCCTACGGACGAACGGGGCCGGTGGGGCGCACGGGGCCGGCGAGGCGCTAAGGGGCGGCTAGGACTAGGACGAGAGCGGAAGCGTGGGTGGGCGGGGAGGACCTAACCTAGCGCGTGATACCATCTCAGAGTAGAATTTGTTAACTAGAGTAGGCAAACAGGTTGGTTTTGTCCAAGGGGTTGTACCCTCTATGAGCATGCATCTATGCAGCCTATTATAGCATATACAAATATGTTTGACACAGCCGTCAGGTGAAAGTGGTTCAGTGAGACCTCGGACCCCCGTCTATAAGCATGATATAACGTAACGTTTGGTTGTAACATCTGAGATAAAAGGGTATTAGTAAGAGAGTGGAACATGCAATTTCCACCTTCCTTAAAAAAACTCTTCCTCCGTTTGCAAAAGCATGTTGAGTTCAGTTCCAAACGCCGGCATTGCTGCCGAGTGAGGAAATGTCAAATCTCGCCGATGTGGTCTTGCATCAACTTCTCCCTCTTCGTTTCCATTGACGAGGTGAGGAATGGCTGAAGCACAAACGAACAAACCCCAACGGTTGCACATGCACGCATGTAGTGCATCTGTCCACACCACACCAGTCGTGTTGTCATGCAAAAATTGAATTGAACTCGTGAAACTCCTAACCTAGTGCTATATGACGAAGGCGGGTGGTGGGTGGGGGGGGGGGGGCTTCCTATGAACCCCCATTGAGCTCGTATGACCATCCATCACGATTTTGAGTAGTCTCTCGCGCCAAATATGGTGGACCCCACTCGCACGTTGGTGCTGCCCATCTCCACCTGGGAGCAAAGTGCCAATGGCAAACAGGGGCGGCACACAAATGAGTGGCAATGAGACACGCGGGTGGCAGTAACGCATACGCACATCCAGCGATGAGTTATTCTCTTCAGTGAAACGCATGGGTGATGTGATGGGTCAGAAGGCAGAAGGCACTAGTCAGAAGCTCCTTGTTTGGTGTTGAGCTATGGAGTGATCGGTTTGGTCCATTTGCAGTTTTTTAAGAGCTGGATTCACATAGAACTCACCGTCTGCTCCAAGTCATTCTTAAGGCGCCTCAAATGCCACGTGAAACTCACAGCTTGCTCAAAGTCGGGGTTGAGGTATGGTATGGAGGGATGGGCCCATGTGTCGGTTATAAGGCAACGGAGGGAGGTGAAACTCACCGCCGGCTCAAAGTCGTTGGACATCCCCATGGACAGCTCAAGGTCATCCGGGGTGAGGGATGGAGGGATGGATGGAGGGATGGGTGCATGTGCGTTATGAGGCAATGGAGCAAGGCGGGACTCACCGCCTGCTCAAAGTCGTTGGACATCCCCATGGACAGCTCAAGGTCCTCCGGGTTGAGCCCCAGCTGCTCACACACCTCCGCTCGACACCTGGCAAGCGCCTATTGGTGGGTCAGGGATATGAAATTGAAGATTGCAAACAAGGCAGAAAGTCCTAGAGGCATTTATTGCAATTAATGAAGCACTTAAAATGTGAACAGCATTCTGTACTTGTCAAACGAGAGATGAGGCGAAAGAAATCTAGATGGTAAGACGTGAGATTTAAGGAAAAAACAAGCACAGCTTTCAGGGTGGGAGGAACAAGGAATGGTCAAGAAAGGGGCATGGGACCTCAAACTTTTCCGGGCAGGAGGAGTCGTCAGGCATGCCGATGGTCATGAGGCCAGCAATAAGAGGAGGCACTTATCACTCTCTACAGAAGACAGTGGAGGTACCCCCCACACCCGTACCTCGAAGTTTTCCGGGCGGGAAGAGTAGTCAGGCATGCCGATTGTCATGAGGCCAGCAAAGGAGAGGTTGGGACACTGGGATGTCACGTGGCGCACCAAGTCCACGCATGCTGCTGGCTCCACGCCGTGCTTGCCTGTTCACAGTCGAAGTGATGGAAAAACAATGTAGGCACGCCACATCCAACACTCTGGCAGCCGAAAAGGTGTGTGTAAGGCTTTTGAGAACAAAAAAAAAACAGATCACACTGCTGAATTGCTTGCTCATTGACCCCCACATTCCCTCTCCTTCCCATGTGCTAACTCTCTTCCCCCACACTCACTCTCCTCCCCCCCACTCACTCTCCTTCCCCACACTCACTCTCCTCCACCCCACTCACTCTCCTCCCCCCCACTCACTCTCCTCCCCCCCACTCACTCTCCTCCCCACCACTCACTCTCCTCCATCCCACTCACTCTCCTCCCCCACACTCACTCTCCTCCATCTCACTCACTCTCCTCCATCTCACTCACCCTCCTCCCCCCCACACTCACTCTCCTCCCCACTCGTGTTGACTTGCACCAGAACACGCAGAGGCGGCCGCCCCACAGCTGCTACGGCCTTGTTCAGATAGTTGGCTATCTGTGGGGAGGGATGGAGGGGATATGCAGGGGCGCAGGGAATAGGGAGGGGTGCAGAGGGATTGCAGGGTGCATTGTACGACACAGGTGCTGCAGCCAACGAGGCCGCCCCACTGCTGCCACGGCCTTGTTGAGATAGCTGGCGATCCGTGGGGAGGGGAGGGAAGGGAGGGGCGCAGGGAGATAGCAAGCAGCGATCCCGGTTGAGTGAGGAATGCATGACGTGGCCGTCCCACTGCTGCTGCCACGGCCTTGTTGAGACAGCTGGCGATCTGACAGGGTGGTTGCCTAGCAAGCAAGAATGTCCATCCACGAATCCAAAATACCCCGCCGGCTGCTAGTCGCCTGCCAACAGCATGTAAAGGTTTCGGCACTCCTGCTATTACCCGCTGCGAATGAAGGAAGCATGACGTGACATGTGCCTTTTGAGTCGACTCAAAAGTCACGTTGCTCGTACCTGCTGCGAATGAAGCATGCATGGCATGACATGTGCCTACCTGGCCTCCATCGCACACACATACCCGGGTGCTGTCCGCTGTCTCCACCATGACCATGTAGAGGTTTGGAACTCAGGGCAACTACAGGCTGCAAGTCATGCTGCCCATTCCACCATGTGTACCATGGCACGGCACGGCATATTATGCATGCTGCGAGAATGACCCTCCAGATTACATACCCGGTTGCTGTCCACTGTCTCCTCCATAAGAAGTTTGACACGCATTTTCACATATGTGCATGGCATGACCAGCAAGCACGTGTCACATGCGCACACATACATACCCGGCTGCTGGCCACTGTCTCCACCATGTAGAGGTTCGGCACTCCTGGTCGCATAGGCCGCGAATCAGGCATGCACGACATGACAAGTTCCTACCGAGAACATCCTCACACACGTTCTCACATACCCGGCTGCTGGCCACTGTCTCCACCATGTAGAGGTTCGGCACTCCTGGTCGCATAGGCCGCGAATCAGGCATGCACGACATGACAAGTTCCTACCGAGAACATCCTCACACACGTTCTCACATACCCGGCTGCTGGCCACTGTCTCCACCATGTAGAGGTTCGGCACTCCTGGTCGCATAGGCCGCGAATCAGGCATGCACGACATGACAAGTTCCTACCGAGAACATCCTCACACACGTTCTCACATACCCGGCTGCTGGCCACTGTCTCCACCATGTAGAGGTTCGGCACTCCTGGTCGCATAGGCCGCGAATCAGGCATGCACGACATGACAAGTTCCTACCGAGAACATCCTCACACACGTTCTCACATACCCGGCTGCTGGCCACTGTCTCCACCATGTAGAGGTTCGGCACTCCTGGTCGCATAGGCCGCGAATCAGGCATGCACGACATGACAAGTTCCTACCGAGAACATCCTCACACACGTTCTCACATACCCGGCTGCTGGCCACTGTCTCCACCATGTAGAGGTTTGGCACTGAGGGAAGCTACAGGCTGCTGATCATGCTGCACGTTCCAGCATGTGTACCATGGCACGGCATACTATGCATGCTGCAAGGATGACCTTCCAGAGCACATACCCGGCTGTTGTCCACTGTCTTCACCATTAGAGGTTCGGTACGCATTTTCAGATACAAGCAGGGGATTCAGAATGCATGGCATGACCAGCAAACACGTGTCACATGCACACACATACATACCCAGCTGCTGTCCAGTGTCCACTGTCTCCACCATGTACAGGTATAACACGCATGCATGACATGCCTAGCAAACACGTGTCACACCATGTACACACATACCCGGCTGCTGTCCACAGTCTCCACCATATAGAGGTTCGGCACTCCTGCTGGTGCCATGTGCCATGAGGGTGCGTGTTCCATTGTGGGGGCGGCATGTGGGGGACAGAGTGGTGGGTGGGTGGGTGGGTGGGTGGGTGGGTGGGTGGGTGTGCCAACACGTGTGTGTTAACACATACAAGAGGGAGGGAGGAAAGCGGGATGGGAGGGGGACGAGGGAGAAGATGGGTTAAAGAGAGAGCTGGATGGGGGAAAGGCGGAAAGAGGTGCAGAATCGAATCGAGCATCCTTAGGAACCGAAATGCAGACGCAACGAGGACATATGTACACGCAGTTAAGCTTCAAAGAAGGGTCACGCAGCAGCAGCAGCATGCATACACACGTCGCGCCGGCTTCTTCAACTCACACAGGATGGCCCTGACTCACACACGATGGCCCTCACTCACACACGATGGCCCTCACTCACACACGATCGCCCTGGCCTTGTTGCGCCTCTCACTCACACACGATCGCCCTGGCCTTGTTGCACCTCTCACTCACACACGATGGTTTTGGCCTTGTTGCTCTGCAGATGACCGATGAAGTGCCACTTGATATCTGGTGGTAGCTGCCATACAAGCAGTCAGTCGCCCAGGCAGGCACACGAATTAAAAAGCAACATAGTGAAAGAAGTAAGGATAGAGCGGGCATGGCGTGAAATGTGTTGGAGATGCGAGCGAGTGAACGAGTGAGTGAGTGAGTGAAGAGCCGCACACGAGTGTCAGTCGGACGCAAAACATGTGTCCTGGATTCCTGGCATTGGCACATCCACGACAACATCAGGGCACCTTATGTACCCACATGAGGCCTACTTGAGGCCCACCTGAGGCCCACCTGAGGCACAACCTGAAGCACCACCTGAGAATCCCGTGGAACGCACCTGAGGCGCCTTATCCAGCATCTCCTGCACGTAGCTCTCCCAAATTGCCTTTGTACGTCACCTACGTGGGGTTTACTGGTACATCTGGGACACCACCTGAGGCACCACGTGGGCACCACCTGAGAATCACCTGGACCCTACCTGAGGCGCCTTGTCCAGCATCTCCTGCACGTAGTTCTCCCCGAAGTGCCTTTGCCCCGCATCATACACCTCCCGAAGCAACGACACAGGCTTGGTCTTGCTCACTGCCACCACCCGAACCTGAGGGCCGGGAGCAGGAGGAAAATGAGAAAGCATGCACCGCGCGCGCGCACTGCATAGAGCGCCCCTGAACATGCGCACCCCTTACCACGCTACCCTTGACCTCCTTCCTTCGTACCTGCCCAGGGCTTCTGCCAGCCTTGAACACCCCTTCTCTGCTGCCTGCGCCATCCGTAGCCACACCGCCTGCGTGTTAAATTGCACATGAACTCCCCATCCCCCTCCCCTCCCCCCCCCCTCACCCACCCCCCTCCCCTCCCCTCCTCCCTTCCCTACCTGACCACCTTCCGACACCATCATACCTGCCCGGCGCTCCTGCCGGCCCGCTCTGCCGCCTGCGCCACTCGCTGCAGCACCGCCCGCAGCGCGGCTGCTGCCACACTCTCCACCGCGCCTGCTGCCCCCGCCATGGGAGGGGACCGTGGGGTGACGCGTCTGACACACGCGAGAGCGGGTGTGACACGCGCTTCTGATGCCTCTCGCGCGCGAGAGGTGATGGTGACACGGTGCCGCAATATGTGCTGAGAGCCGCCCGTGCCGTCAAAGCGCGCGCGACAAAATGGGTGCGGAAGAGGAGGGCCCCGGATTCCCTTGGATCCCTTACTTCCTCTACAGCACAGCAGCGAAGACTAAAATACGCGAGCGCAGCAACGCAACGCACTGGCGGCAAGGGAAAACGGCCAATCAGTTCAATATATTCAGCATGCGTTCGCGATTGAGGGAGAATCCGCTACCTGACAACCTTACGATCATGGCCTTTACTGTAACAAGTGATGCCCTTGTTACACTTTGCGACGTTTCGGACCTCGATGCCGGAATTTGAGAGCCTCGCTTTCGTAGGAGTTTACGTGGCCAATATTATGCCACGTCAGCGTGGTTGGGGTCCTCACGCGAAGGTGTAGCTTTCGCCTTGGGGATGTGGGGCGAGGTGCGCTAATGCACGAATGCAGATGCTACGTGAAAACGCAACTGTAAGGAATTCGTAGTTCCTTACTGCGGCGCACTGCTAGCGCGTACACCGAACGTACACGGCACTGGGGTAGGCCCTAGTTCCGTCACCGTACACAATACACCGAACCATTCCGCGTCATTCCGAAGCGCCCTGCGTCCTCGGATACCTTCTTCGAACCTGTGAATCACACGGTTAGGATTCGCTCTGGTGTTCCTATATCTAGCCTCGCCTTTCACTGTACCGACAATCTGTGAATCTGTCATTCTGAACTTCGATATTCACTTCCGCGCTACTCTGGGTTTCCACCCATAACAGCGACAGATGCTCTGCCGTAAATGGGATAAAGCAATTTGTGAATCTTTTCTGAAGTGGGAGGGAATGTTCTATTATCTGGCTTTTACAGAACTGTATATTCGTTTGTAAAAGGTATTGAGCAATATTTCTGTACCGTTTCACAAACTACTCTTCATGGCGTGTGGGGCGAATGGATTTTATCGAGTTGCGAGTCATCGCATAAGGGGGGACGGGATCTCCCTTCCCCCTCCTGTGATGTCCTGCTGTCCCTCTCCCAAAAGGCAAGAGCTCGGTACAATTCTTTACTTCCAGGGTTGCACTTTGAGGGCCGGCCCTAAGAAGGCGACCATAATTCTCTACCCACAACCGCACAGGATTACGCTAATGTCATCAAACCGACTACAACCGCAAATTGGTGGCTGGGTTTGGGCTTGGGGTCGGGATTGGGTCGGGTTAGCCGATCCCGAACCTGGGGGAATTGTAACACGGTATGAGGGTCAAGTCACGAGTGCCAGCAAGTGAATCACCTCTCCACTGCAATGGCAGATTCAAGCTGACTGCTTGTCACCAGAAGCACTGAATCCCACAGCTTGTGCTCTTGGTGACCAGATTCGTCGGTTCCTTGGAAGAGTGCCGCCAGATTGTGGCAATGGAATTCGAATCTTAGCCGTCAGATTTCTCGTCCGATTTTGGTGATCGTTGATTCAGACGGGCTGAGCGCTTCGATCACGACGCTGCACAGCTTTCGTAGCACATTCAGCAGAGAAGAGAAAGCTTAGGAATTTCCTGGTCCGATAGCTGCAACTTCTCAGTGTTCAAATAGGTTTCTCTCGCCTACGAGGCTAATTTGAATCGGAGCAGAGTCAGAACCGCCGATTGCGGCCACGCGGATTCTGAGCCCTGTACGCTGCCACGCGGTCGATTCTGACTTGCTGTTTATTGGTTCGTGAGTAGGATAGCATTAGGGTGTTTGCGAATGCTGCAGAGTTTATGCTAAGCTCGCAGCTTCCGACGTGTTTTCCTGTCGATTCGTCTTCGGCACTCTAGCGCAACGCAGCTTCGCGTCGTCCGTCCCGAGTCCCGACCGTCACGACGACTCCCCCGTGTGCTGCCGTCGCATTGCCTGGTCAAAATACTCTCCTCTGTTCGCAGAAATCACTTCGCTTCGCGTCGCTTCGCGAACTACCTCGCTTCACGGAGTTTCTGTACAGTTGCTCCCAGTTCGGAAAACTTGCGTATGACTGCGGTATCCTCTCGTTCGTTTCTGACCGCGTCGATCGCTCCCTCGAGATTTCCATCCTCGTTTTGGGGATCGCTGAGTAGAGGACAAAAACCCGTTATAAGCATCACCGCTAGTCATCCAGCGCCAACAGCTTCCTGTAAATATCTCGCCAGTGCTCTCGCAACCGAATCTGCCTTGTCGCGTTATCCTGATAAACTAGGTCACACGTTACGTCATTCTGATCAACTACTACGTCATTCTCACACGACTGAGAGCATTCTCAGTGCCGATACCAATCTCGCTGCACGGCGCCGTGAGAAGGCCTGTGCGTCCGCCATACCCACTTTCTGCTCGGTATTGGATGATCCGACAAGTATAGTGGAAACTTCAGATTCGGAAGGGCCGGCATCACGTCTAACAGCACAGCCAGCAGCTCATCCAGAGGCACAGCCAAAGGCACAACCACCAGAACCCTGCTCACTGTCCCGTGGCGCAGAGCCTTTCGACGCTGGTCCTCGTACGGCAGTTCATTTGGAAAATTCAGGCCCAGCAGCAGCAGCAGCAGCAGCAGCAGCAGCAGCAGCAGCAGCAGCAGCAGCAGCAGCAATAGTTGCAGCATTGATAGCTACACCCGCTGCACAGGCGTCCTCGTTTCTAGGATCATCTGACCCATCAAGCTCTCTAGGGCCAGCTGCTGACATGGCAACAGCGGCAGCTGCGGCGGCGGCTGTGGCGTGCGATTCCAACACTTGCGCGTGGCACTCGCTCGCCCTGCACGTGCTCTATGAGTCGCTCGGGTGGCTCGCATTCCTCGTGTGGTCGGCCTCCTTCTACCCTCAGGCCGTGCTCAACTGGAAGAGAAAGAGGTGCGTGCGCTGCATTGAGGATGAAAATCACAGTTAGTTGACCTTAAAGCGCGGATCTCGAAACCCCCCCAACCAAAAACTTCAGTTTTGACCCTGGGGGCATTTTGCCTGGGGACCAAAACCTAAGGTTCTGAGTTCGGGGAATTTCGAGCTCCTCGTTTTAAGGCGAAAAGGAGTCCACTGGATGGTGTTTTACCCTTCTCCTCTTTCCCCTGCCCCTCTTCTCCTCTTTCCCCTGCCCCTCTTCTCCCCAACTTCCCCGTTCTCTGGTCCCTCATCTTCCCTCTCCCCTCTCGTAAGCGTCAGCGGCCTCAACTTCGACTTCCTCGCCTTCAACCTCACCAAGCACTGTCGTGCTCTTTCCCCGTGCCCGTGCGTCTTCCCCGTCCCCCCCCCTACATTCTCCAACTCTTACCCCGTCTCAGTGTCAGCGGCCTCAACTTCGACTTCCTCGTGTTCACCCTCACCAAGCACTCCTCATTCCTCACCAAGCACTCCTCATCTCCACCGCTGCATAGACGTCTTCCTCCTCCATCCCTCCCCCCTGCCACGCCCTACATGTCCCGCCCTCGCCCTTCACCATGTCCCGCCCTCGCCCTTCACCATGTCCCGCCCTCGCCCTTCACCATGTCCCGCCCTCGCCCTTCACCATGTCCCGCCCTCGCCCTTCACCATGTCCCGCCCTCGCCCTTCACCATGTCCCGCCCTCGCCCTTCACCATGTCCCGCCCTCGCCCTTCACCATGTCCCGCCCTCGCCCTTCACCATGTCCCGCCCTCGCCCTTCACCATGTCCCGCCCTCGCCCTTCACCATGTCCCGCCCTCGCCCTTCACCATGTCCCGCCCTCGCCCTTCACCATGTCCCGCCCTCGCCCTTCACCGTGTCCCGCCCTCTTCCTTCTCAGCGTCAGCGGCCTCAACTTCGACTTCCTCGCCTTCAACGGCACCGAGCACTCCGCCTGCCTCGTGTTCACCGCTGCATTGTCCTCTTCCCCCTGCCCCTCTTCTCCTCACCTTCTCTTTTTCATGGTGCCTATTCTTCCTCCCCTCTTCAGCATCATCGGGCTCCACTTCGACTTCCTCATATTCAACCGCACCAAGCGCAATGCGTACCTCACGCTTGAATGTTGTCATGGGCTTTTGCCTTCCCCGTCCGCTGCATGCTCCACTCTTCACTCCCTCTCAGTGTAATAGGGCTCAACTTCGACTTCCTGGTGTTCAACCTCACCAAGCACTCCGCCTACCTTATCTTCAACGCCTCCATGTTCTTCTCATCGGTCGTGCAGCAGCAGTACCACGCCAAGTACGGCGCGGATGAGGTGGGTGATTGAGTGAACGGCTGCTTTCCCGCCTTTGCTATTGCCTCAGCTCATCCCAGTGCCAGCTCATCTCAGCTCATCCCAGTGCCAGCTCATCTCAGCTCATCCCAGTGCCAGCTCATCTCAGCTCATCCCAGTGCAAGCTCATCTCAGCTCATCCCAGTGCCAGCTCATCTCAGCTCATCCCAGTGCCAGCTCATCTCAGCTCATCACAGTGCCAGCTCATCTCAGCTCATCCAAGTGCCAGCTCATCTCAGCTCATCCCAGTGCCAGCTCATCTCAGCTCATCCCAGTGCCAGCTCATCTCAGCTCATCCCAGTGCCAGCTCATCTCAGCTCATCCCAGTGCCAGCTCATCTCAGCTCATCCCAGTGCAAGCTCATCTCAGCTCATCCCAGTGCCAGCTCATCTCAGCTCATCCCAGTGCCAGCTCATCTCAGCTCATCCCAGTGCCAGCTCATCTCAGCTCATCCCAGTGCCAGCTCATCTCAGCTCATCCCAGTGCCAGCTCATCTCAGCTCATCCCAGTGCCAGCTCATCTCAGCTCATCCCAGTGTCAGCCGTGGCAGTCACTTCATCCGCCTCTTTCTCCCCTTGCCCTCGTCTAATCTCCCTTCCGCCCTTCCCCCTCCTCCTTCGTTATTGTCACAGCTCATCCCGGTGTCAGCCAGTGACGTGGCGTTCTCAGTGCATGCGGTCATCCTCACTGCCTTCACTGTCTGGCAGTGCATGGTGTACAATGTGAGTTAGGCATGCAAGCATCGTGTACGATGTGAGTTAGGCATGCAAGCACGGTGTACGATGTGAGTGGGTGGTTGCATGGTGTACGATGTGAGTCAGTTGATATGATGTGATCTTGCACAGGCGTAGAGATATACCACACTTTCTACGACCATGCCTGTAGGCAAATAACTTGAAGGAGGAGGCAAATAACTTGAAGGAGGAGGAAACTTATAAAAGCTGGTGGTGTGCTGGCGGCGGTGTGCTGGCGGTGCGCTGGTCCTCAGGAACCGGCGGTCACGCGTAAAGCTAATAACTTACTGTGTATGTAGACATCAGCGTATGAAAGTCCCTACCATTATGCGTGGAGGATTACGTGTGACGCGTGCGAGCTTAAACACTCTGGGAGAGAAAGTATGGGTAAGGCAAGTTTTGAAAGGGCGAATGAAACCACATTCTAATGTTCGAGTGCACCTGGAAGCGCGACTAGAGATGGATTTGTTTGAAATCTCGAGAAGGTGATTTTTTTTATTGTGGGACTTCTAAAACATCATTAACAACAAACTCCGAGTGCACCTAGAGAAGCGACCAGCGAGTGTCACGGACGTGCAAAGTCACCTTAATCGCTCACTGCCTCGGTGCGCTTTGGGTTGCCTTTGCGCCCATTGGGTTGCCTTTGCTCTCTGCTCACATGCGAGTGTCACGGGCGTGCAAGGTCATCTATATGACTGTCTAGCTCTTCGCTCTCCTCACTTCCCTCCTCTCTTCCTATGTCTTCCCTCCCCTCCTTCTGTCCTGCCGCCCTTTTCTTCTGCCCCTCCCTCTTGCTTTTGCTGCCCCCCCCCCTCCCCCCTTTCCACACACATTGCTAACACACACAGAGGGGCGCCCAGCGAGTGTCATGGACGTGCAAGGTCATCTCTCTAACTGTCTGGCTCTTTGCTCTCGTCACCTCCCTTAACTCCGCCTTTCAAAGCGACTGGCTGGGCCTCGTCACCATGTTCAAGTGAGCCCTGCTCCTCTGGTTGTCACCTGGTCACGTTGTCACCTTGTCACGTTGTCACCTTGTCACGTTGTCACCTTGTCACGTTGTCACCTGGTCAAGTTGTCACCTTGTCACGTTGCCTTGTCACGTTGTCACGTTGTCACATTGTCACGTTGTCACCTTGTCAAATTGTCACCATTTCAATCACAGTCTGGCTCTTTGCCCGCCTCACCTCTCTTGACTTGGCCATTCACAGCGACTCGCGGGGCCTTGTCACCATGTTCCATCCATCGCGCATCCCTTGCCACACCATGCATTCCGTCATGCAACCCATCTCTCCTGCCAGCCACTGCTGAGAAAAATGCTTGTGGTCACATGTCTTCTCATGCCCCACATGTCTTCTCATGCCCCACATGTGCCCTTGTTCGCGTCCAAGTCCCACAGATACATTCAAGGGCTCACGTGCCGCTGCCCCCTTGCCGTTTCCTGTGTCTCTGTGCCTTTCCGTCACTCACAGCTACATCCAAGTCGTTATGACCACTATCAAGTACATTCCACAGGTATGACCACCTTCTGGTTTGCTTTTCTGTTAATGCCTCTTTTTTGTTATGTGATTATGCTATGTTTCTCTTAAGTGTCACTATATCGGGCAAAGAGCTTGTGATCATGGCTATGACTGCTATCGAATGCATGGTCTTCCGCTTGTAAAGCTTTAAGGCTATAAAGGTTCGATTGTCAAATGTGACTCGTAGCTCAAGTAGTGGGATGTATAAATCGTGTGTAAACCTGCATGTTATCCTTTTGCACTTCTGATTCTTGTGCATTGTGGTTGTGATACGCTTGTGGTTGTTATCCTTCTCCTATGCGCCCAATGCTGCTTCTCCCTTGCACGCATTGCCGGTATCTCTCCCTATCATCAATCACCGGCCGTGGTTCATCTTCCAGCGCCGCAGCATGGTGGGGTGGAGTATCAGCAACGTTTTCCACTTCCTCTTTGCGCCCATGTCTGCTTCTACCCGGTACCCATCCCCCCCTTCCCCCCCTTCCCACCCTCAGGCGTGGTTCAACTTCCAGCGCCGCAGCACAGTGGGTTGGAGCATCAGCAACGTGCTTATGGATTTGACGGGAGGGCTGGCATCGCTGCTCATGATGTTTGTGCAGTCCATCGACCAGAGTGAGTTGCCTCCTTCCCATGACGGCTCCGTTAATCATTTAGGACGCTGGACATTGGTGTCATAACGCCAAAATCCAAACATCAGTACGAACTTCTCCCGCGATGGTCCGTACAACCTGCGAAACCAGTCAGCTTGAGAGGTTCCAAGCTGGGATGTTCCAACTTTATTTGCGAAACCAGAGTCAATTCGCCAGCAGTAAAAACTTCGCGAACACCCCACGCCTATGTGACATTTGTTTTCGCGGCAGGCTTTCGTGAGTTCGCCGACCGCCAAAAGGGTTGGCATTTCATACGTGGCGGAGTGGCCATTCGAACGGGTGAATTCGTGACGCATGTTCCATTGCCGTTATGAATTTGGGCGAGGAATTTTGCTGACATGCGAAACGTCCTTGCGTATCCGCGAAAACAGTAATCACCCCAAAATTCATACCGTTTTCTAAATAACGTATTGGAGGTCCCGCGCCCTTAGCGACAGCATACAAAGCAGTGAGCTCATAGATCTCCCTCCCGTCGATCTCTCAGGCTCGTTTGACACTTCAAAGGGAATGTGAGGCAACCTCGCTCTCTCACCCTCTCTCCCACTCTCTCCTCACCCCCCGCCCCTCTCTATTCCCCACCCCTCCACCCCACCCCTCCACTCCTCCCCCTCTCAGGCTCGTTTGTCAACTTTACGGGCAATGTGGGCAAGCTCGCCCTTTCAGGGGTATGCGTTGGGTTAATTGTGGTGTGTGGTGTAGTGTGGTGTGGTGTGATGTGGTGTGGTGTGGTGTGGTAGGAGAATGGCAGAGATGGATCCGTCCATACCAACTTGCCGTTAGTCGGTACTAAACGCTGGCTTATGTTGTGATCTTCCATATTGTACTGTTCAATTGTACTCATCCACTCGCTGAGTTGCAGCCTTCCTCCCCCCATGCCCCCTTCTCAATTGTATACCCCCATCCAGGAGACGATCGCCTTTGACATTCTGCTAGTATTGCTCTCTCACGTCTCATGCTCCGCCTCTCCCTCTCCCCTTTCATCCTCTCCCCTCCAAAACCTTCCCCCTCCTCCCCCCCCTTCCCCCTCCTCCCCCCTCCTCCCCCACTCCCTCCACCTTCCAGGAGACGATAGCCTTTGACATCATGTTCGCTGTGCAGCACTTCATTCTCTTCCCTCATGCTCCACCTCTCCCCCTCCGCTTCATTCCCCCCCCACCCACCCACCCCCCCCTCGCCCTCCTCTCTTCCCCCACCTCTCCCCTTTCCCCCCTCTCCAGGAGACGATAGCCTTTGACATCATGTTCGCTGTGCAGCACTACATTCTCTTCCCCCACAAGCCACCTCTCCCCATCTCCGCCACCTCTGCTGTCTCCTCCCACCCCTCCACAACTGCACCCCTCGAGCATGAGGGCAAGGGGGGGAGGGAGAAGGAGGAGGAGGGGGAGCAGCCTGCAGACGAGTTTACCCGCCTCCTGCCATCGCGACGGTCTGGTGGCTTATTCTGATTGGAGGGATTGAGTATGCAGAGGGTAGTTGTGATAGGAGGGTTGCAAATGGGTTTCGCGAAAGCTTGGATTTCTTTATGTTAGTCAGGTTGCCCTTCAAAACCTTCTTGTACAATCAGCAGTTAAGCAATCCTTGTGCTTAGTTGTCCTTTTTCTTTGCTTCGTCCATCCATCCACGTCGGAAACCATCTGATGTTCACATGCCCTCCACCCTACTCCTTCCCCTCGTTTTGTTCTTCCACCCTTCAGGGAAAGCAGCAGCATATCACTCAAGTCTTATGACAAAGATCAATGACAGAAGTCTTCATTCGCTTGCTCATGCATTTCAGGGGTTTTGCAAGATTTTGGTTGTCAACAAAGAGGGAATTTCACATGAAACGAAGTTCATGCCGCTCTGCGTGAAAAAACCTAGTTGAGTTCCTTCAATTAGTTAATCGAATTTTACCACCTACTTTGAAAGTATCACTATATCGTGCTATGGGTTGAGTAGACTTGTTTCGTATGTTCATCTCACACTAATAACGAGTGAGCTTCCGCGGGACCGGGGTTGAGTGGCGGCAATCCCTTGGCCGTGTGGCACACTCCACCAAGCCAAACCCCAGAAGAAATGCTTTGGGAGTGTGGACAGCCCATACCAAGTTTGATATCATTGTACTGTACTGTAGGAAGGCCGAGGAGTGGGAAGGCTACTCGCCATCGTTTCGAAAGGAGCGGAGCGGCGTGCCACTCGCGGTGGTTTGGCTGGTACGCCGTCGTCGATAGAATTTATTTGTTGCGAAACGGGTTGCTGTCGCGGGGACTTTTAAAGCTGACCGGAATCGTCAGTTTAATATATATATTCCCCTAGCGGCGTTTGGCCATGGCGGATTATCACACGGTGTACAAGGAGCCGGAGGGCACGACGACGGAGTGGGAGGACCTTCAGGTAATGGCGTTCCAGCCCGCTGTGCTTTATAGTCCTGTCAGTGGGTAAGCAGGCGCAACGGGTACGAAGAATGCAGAGTTAATGATTACGTCCATTAAATACGGGTTAGTGTGACAAACCAGACCCCATGGGTTAATCATGAAGCGTTGAGGTCGTTAGTTTCGGAAAGCTGGAATGTGACATGGTCGGACGCGAAAAGACACATGATCCCGCACAGCTACTTTCGGCTCTTGGAGCTGGCGGGGGGAGTGCAGCTACTAGGCAGCGTGGATCCACTGGCGTAGAAAAGAGCTGGAAATACTGAAACGAGAGAGAAGGGAGATCATAATGGAAGGGATTTTGACGTGCCACAGATCCACCGCCGATTGCCTTTGCTTGACCATACTCTGCGGTGCGCACTGCGCACTCAATCAGCCATTCTCCAGCTTCGCCCCTCCCTGTCCCTGCCTCAATCGCCTCTGCTTCCTTCCTATTGCAGGGTTTGTGAAATTCGGCTATCTTGTTGTTTTAATGCGTCATCACACGACTGGCTTGCCACCTTTCCTGATTTTCCGGGCAAGTGAAATTCCGCAACCTCGTTCCGCGCGAGAAGCCCAAGACGGCGGCGTGGGAGGCGGTAAAGAAGCAGAGCAGAGGCACACGGACGAGTTTGAGGCGCGCACCGCTGATGAGCTTGAAATGCGGACGGGCGAGCTTGACAATGCAGACGGGCGATGAGCTGGACGACCTGGAGGTCTGCGAAGGGGAATGAACGAGCGACTCCCGCGAGAATTGATCCGTGCATCCGTCTGTGCTCTTACTCCCGCTTACCTTCTCCAGGTGAAATACGGCAACCTTGAAGCGCGCGAGAAGCCCAAGACGGCGGCGTGGGAGCCGGCGGAGGAGAGGCGGCGCACGGATGAGCTTGACACGCGGACCGCTGATGAGCTGGACGACCTGGAGGATGACGTGGATGATGACCGGTTCATGGAGGAGTACAGGTAGGATGGCCACGTGGGATGGAACACGTGGGATGGGCACATGGGCACCAGACAAGGTAGGATAGGCACGGGGCATCAGCAGGTGGGATGGCGGAGGGGTACACGTGGCATGGACTCACCCCTAACCTCCTTCCCCCCTCCCCCCCCTTCTCCTTCCCTCTCCCCCTCTCTCCTCCCCCCTCTCTCCTCCCCCCTCCCCCCTCCCCCCTCCCCCTCCCCCCTCCCCCCTCACCCCCTTTTCCTTCTCTCCCTGTTCTGTGTCTCCCCCTAGGAGGTGGCGCACAACAGGGATTAGAGCAGCGGCAGCGTGGCCACAGTTCCGAGGGCTGGAGCGAATAACTGGACTGACCCCCAGCCCCCTGCCCCTCCCCGTCACCCCCGCTCTTCATCATACCTCCCTGCCCTTCCCCCTTCCCCCTTCCCTCCCGCCCGTCATCATTCCCCAGGCGGCGGCGCGTGGCAGAGCTGAGGGCAGCGGCAGCGCGGCCGCGTTACGGAGGGGTGGAGCGAATCACGGGGCCGGACTTTGTGAGGGAGGTGACAGAGGCGTCGCAGAGCGTGTGGGTGGTGGTGCACCTGTTCCGCGACAGGTGGGTCGTTTGAGAGGGGTGGGTGCCTCTTCCGAGACAGGGGTTTGTTGCTTGAGGGAGGGCTTGCAAAGAAGGTGGGTGCCCCTTGCCAGACAGGTGCGCTGAAGAAGCTTTGTAGTACGAGTGGCGGGGCTACGTTCCCATAACGCATGCCCCATGCCGCATTCCCCATGCCCCATGCCCCATTCCCCATGCCCCATTCCCCATGCCCCATGCCCCATGCCCCATTCCCCATGCCCCATTCCCCATGCCCCATTCCCCATTCCCCATGCCCCATTCCCCCTTCCCCATTCCCCATGCCCCATTCCCCCTTCCCCATTCCCCATTCCCCATGCCCCCTTCCCCGTTCCCCATTCCCCATGCCCCATTCCCCATGCCCCATTCCCCATTCCCCATGCCCCATGCCCCCTTCCCCGTTCCCCATGCCCCATGCCCCATTCCCCATGCCCCATTCCCCATTCCCCATGCCCCATTCCCCATGCCCCATGCCCCATGCCCCATTTCCCATGCCCCGTGCCCCATGCCCCGTGCCCCATGTGTGACAGATGAAGTTCACTGCACGCATCGGCGAATCATCTCAACGACCATCTCCCTGCTCCCTGTTCCGTGCTGCCTAGCAAGAAGCATGCTCCCCTCGTACTCCTCTTCTCTTTCTTTCCCTACTCTCTTCCCCCTCTCCCATCGTGCCGCCATGCACCATCATCGCCAGTTGCCTGGCCGAGCTCGCCCAGTCCCATCCACCGACCAAGTTCGTCTGCACAGTGAGCACCGAGTGCATCGCCAACTACCTTCTTCTTTGTCTCCCCACTCTCTCCCCCATCCTATTCCTTCCCCACCTCCCATCCCGCTCTCTCCCCCGCCCCCCAGCGTGCCTGCCTGCAGCATCATCGCCAGTTGCCTGGCTGAGCTGGCCCAGTCACACCCGCACACCAAGTTTGTGCGCATAGTGAGCACCGAGTGCATCCCCAACTACCCCGACGCGCACCTGCCTGCGCTGCTGGTGTACCACAAGGGCGCGGTCAAGGCCTCCCTAGTGGGCATGCAGCAGTTCGGAGGGAAGAACTGCACGGCGCAAGGTGAGAGGGGAGTGGGGAATGGCGGTCACTGGTAGTGGGTGGGGTGTTGGCACGCACCTACCCGCGCTGCTGGTGCATCATAAGGGGGCAGTCAAGGCGTCCCTGGTGGGCATGCAGCAGTTCGGAGGGAAGAACTGCACGTCGCAAGGTGAGAGGCTCGGCCAATATCACTCAGAAGGAAGGAGCATCTTCTTTGGCGGTTGGTGTAATTCGACTTCTGCCTTCCCCTTTCCTGAGTATTTCTGCTTGGTTTCTTGGTTTGCAGATGTGGCTTTTGCGTTGTGCAAGGTTGGGCCAGTTCTTGCGAGTGACGATGAGGATGAGGAAGCAGTGATGCAGCGGGTACAGAAGGATTACGTAAAAAACATTGTGAAGAGGCATGTGGAAGAGAAGGGGGATGATGGAGATGATGAATAGGTTTGACAATTACGACAATTTTCCCGCAACTAGCCTTCCCATGTGGCTCTACTTTTATTTGCCACAAATGGTTTTCTCCTAACGTATACGCCTTCACTGTGCGCTTGCCATATTAATTGTATCTGGTCCATGTCCTCTATGCGAGTCGAACACAAGACTCTATAGTGAGCCCATCAGCCTCGTCAGCGGCGACGCAGCTCTTCGACCACTCGTCTTCACCCAATCAGATGGCCTCAATTGCCACCCGTTGGACATTCCAGTGATAAAGACGAATCAGCTGTACACAATACTAACATTCACCAGTCCGTCCATTCAGAACTCCATTCGGCCAGAGAGCATTTCTGTGACCAGCTGCTATTGTGTACATCAGTGCCGTAGTTACAGCCAAATTGCGTGTCGCACATGGTGGTATTGGCGGACACTGGCTAGACTGCAGCTCATAGAGGTCGGTGCGAGGTCGAGACTGGCTGCTACTAGGAGCCTGGTCCCCGGTGCTCTCTGGTGGATTAGAGGACTCCCCGAGACACCTATTGCCAGAAAAATCGACTTTTGTCCTTGGACCGTCCAAATTGGACCTAAACCATTACGCTTATTATAGCCAGCGGTTTCCGCGAGATTTCTTGGTCAGAGCTCCGCCTTTCGCCGTCTGACCATGTCGGACCCCACGAGAGCGCCAACAGGTGCGCGAATGTGGTGCCAGGATGCGATAATAGCGGGTGTGTGATCCTAGCGGGGGTGTGATTCTACCAGGTGTGTGATTCTAGCAGGTGTGATTATGACACTTGTAGTGCTACAAGGAGTGATGGCAAGACCCGTGCGTGTGACTGTGATGCTAGCAGGCGTAGTTTCTAGCACTGTCAGGCGTGAATGTGATACTGATAGATCGCACTGCTAATCTGGTGATTGTTGCCAAATCTCGTTTTTCTTTCCCTCGTGCTCTCGTGCTCTCCCTTTTCTCATCGTCGATTTACCTCTAATCGTTCTCCCCTTGCCTCCATCCCTCTCCTCCTCCCCACGGCATTCCGCCTATCGCCCCCATTTTCAGCCATTCTCGATGAGTTTCCCTCACATGAGGAAGGTGAGCCATTCCGTAAAACACCTTGTTTGTAGGGCAATTCTGATGGTAACCAGTTTCGGCAGGTGGCTGCCTGCCTTCACCAGTCCAAGGCATGAGTTTTCTTTTCACATGAAGAAGGTGAGCCATTCTGTAAAACACATTCTAAAACACATTCTTTGCTGCCTGACCTCTCGCCCTCGCTTCGCCAAGAGGTCGTATAACAGCTATTCCATCCACTCACAACAACGCATGCCTTTGATTGCACAGAAGAGGCTCGTCAGCATACCGATTCGGCGTCTGTGCTAGCACACCTCTCGCTTCTCCCATTTTTAGCTATCCAACAGCAGATGGTTCATACTTCAACCACGCAGTAGCGATGGCATACTAGCACGTGTTTGTAATAACGTCTCTCCCCCTTACACCCTACACCCCAACCCTCCCTCCATCCCTCCCCACTTCTACCCCCCCTCCTCCCCCCCTCCCCCTTCCCTCCCCCTCCTTTCCCTCCCCCCATCCCTCCCCCTTCCCTCCCCCCTTCCTTCCCCCATTCCTTCCCCCCATCCTCCCGCCTTCCTTTCCCCCCCTCCCCCATTCCTTCCCCCCATCCTCCCGCCTTCCTTCCCCCCCCCCTCCCCCCCATCCCTCCCCCCTCTCCCCCTCCCCCCCTTTCCCTTCCCCCATTCCTCCCCTCCCCCCATTCCGTCCCCCAGTCGCCCCTCCCTTCCCTCCCCCCATCTTTCCCCCCTGTACTCCCCCTTCCTTTCCCCCATCCCTCCCCCCTCTCCCCATCCCTCCCCCCTTCCTTCCCCGCATCCCTCTCCCATTACCTCCCCCCTTCCCCCAATCCCTCCCCCCATCCCACCCCCTCCCAGCCATCCAGCAGGGCCACTCGGACCTGAACCAAGCGGTAGGGGAGGCATCGGAGGGCGCAACGGTGCATTTTCCTTCCCCCCACACCCCCATGCCCCTATTCCGCCTTCCCCCCACCCCCCTATTCCCCCATCCTCCCATCCCCCTATTCCCCCATCCTCCCATCCCCCTATTCCCCCATCCTCCCATCCCCCTATTCCCGCATTTCCCGTGCCTCTATTCCACTGTGCCCCCGTGCCCCGATTCCGCCAACCCCCTGTGCCCCTATTCCCCCAGCCTCCTATTCCCGCATCCCGGCGTGGTCGTGACGATGGGCTGTGGGGAACCGTTTGGAGCAATGATGGGGAGCAGTGATGGGGAGCAGTGATGGGGAGCAGTGATGGGGAGTACCTTCCTCTTCCCTCTTCTCCCTTCCCCCTCCCCCGTGCCAGCTGTGAAGCAGCACGATCACTCATACCTGAGCCATACAGTGGCAGAAGCTACGAGGGCGTGAGAGGTGGATTGACCTTCCCACCATCCCCTATTACCCCATCCAACCTATTCCCCCATCCCCCAGCTGTGAAGCAGCAGGACCACTCGTACCTCAACCAAGCAGTGGCGGAGGCGTACGAGGGCGTGAAGGTGGGCGACGGGGGGCCGTTTGGAGCGGTGGTGGTGCGAGAGGGGGAGGTGGTGGCAGCGTGCCACAACATGGTGCTGCGGAATACCGACCCCACGGCACATGCTGAAGTGACGGCGGTTAGAGAGGTGCGTGCATGTGTGTGTGTTTGCGTCTGTGTGTGCCTCTGCGTGCGACAGTGTGAGCTGTTTTTGGAGAGGAGGAGGAGGAGGAGGAGGAGGAGGAGGAGGAGGAGGAGGAGGAGGAGGAGGAGGAGGAGGAGGAGGAGGAGGAGGAGGAGGAGGAGGAGGGAGGAGGAGGAGGAGGAGGAGGAGGAGGAGGAGGAGGAGGAGGAGGAGGAGGAGGAGGAGGAGGAGGAGGAGGAGGAGGAGGGAGGAGGAGGAGGAGGAGGAGGAGGAGGAGGAGGAGGAGGAGGAGGAGGAGGAGGAGGAGGAGGAGGAGGAGGAGGAGGAGGAGGAGGAGGAGGAGGAGGAGGAGGAGGAGGAGGGAGGAGGAGGAGGAGGAGGAGGAGGAGGAGGTGGTGGTGGCAGCATGCTACAGCATGGTGCTGTGGAATTCAGGCAGGCTCCACCCACGGCACATGCGGAAGTAATGGCTGTCAGGGAGGTATGGCATTGCCAGGGGAGTGTGCCCTTCTGTGTGCCGCTGTGTGGATGCCACGCCTTGGTGGTGGCGTGAAATGGGGCGGTTGTGGCAGCATGCATGCCATGACATGCTCAAGTCACAGCTGTCAGGGAGGTAAGGCATGGGTCTGGCATGGCATGGCATGCCCCTCTGGCCATGTCTTATTATGCCCTGTTATGCTCTAAGCTTGGCACTCAAGAGTATCAACTCGGCTGTCTACACAGTCCTGCATGTGCTCTTTTGCACGTGCTAATATGCTATGGCCTATTGGACTGTGAGCCCTATGCCCCTCATGTCCCCTTCACATCCCCCCCCCCCCCCCCCCCCCCCCCTTCACATCCCCCCCCCCCCTTCACATTCCCCCCCCCCCTTCACATTCCCCCTCCGCCTTCACATTCCCCCTCCCCTGCACACTCCCCCCTCTCCCCGTCACATCCCTCCTCCCCCTTCACATTCCCCCTCCCCCTTCACATCCCCCCTCCCCCTTCACATTCCCCCTCCCCCTTCACTTATGCCGCCCATCTCCACCAGGCGTGCAGAACCTGCACCTTGTATGCTGTTTCAACAAAGCCACACGTGCACTCCTAAACCACTTCTCTCCACCACGCGCACAGCTAGCTAGCTGGGCTTCTGATAATTTACTCTCTAACGTCTCACTCGTACTCTTGAAATCCCTTATTATTATCTCTGCTGGAAGCTGGGCTGCTGAGTGAACACCACTTGGGTGCCATAGGTCTTTACGTGGCAGCAACTCAAGAAAACGCTTAAGTAAAAAACAGAGAGTAAACTTGCTTTTTGAAAAATCTTCGTGAAGATTTGATGGTAACCGGTTTCGGCTCGAGAGCCTTCTTCAGACCACAAAGAAATAAGCAAGACTAGCTAGCCTATAAATACCACCTCGAGGACTCCTCGCGAGGCATTCCTCTGCGGGGTCTCGACGATGGCCAGGGGAAAAGAGAAAAACAAAACAGTACAAATATACTGTAGTCTAACACTTATGAGCAGAAATAAGAAAATTTCCAGCTCTCTTCGGCAGCCTCCAAGCGAGAATGGTTCTTCTTGAAGCGAAAGTTCCGTGTGACATTGTAACGAGATGACTTTTGAGTCGACTCAAAAGTCATTTTGAGTCGACTCAAAAGTCATTATTATCTCTGCTGGAAGCTGGGCCGCTACGACCCGTCAGACAGTGAGCTCTATGTGCCTCTGTAACTCCATTCCGGTCTCCTCACATCCCCTCCATCATCACGGCTCCCTCCTCTCACTGCAACACCACCAGGCGCACAGGAAGCTGGATCGCTATGATCAGTCAACCTGGGGGCCGTATGCTCCTCCAGCCATCCCTCTCATGCCCCCTACACCTCCTTCCACATGCCCCTGCCCCCTCCACCTCCACGTGCCCGTGCCCCCCTCATCGCCACCAGGCATGCAGAAAGCTAGGCCACTCTGGTGTATCGGACCATGAGCTCTATACTCCTGCATCCCATCCCTGTCATTTCTCCCCCTCTGGGCCACTACGACCTGCCAAACTGGGAGCCGTACATTCCTCCATTCCACGCCTCATTCCACGCCTCATTCCATGCCTCATTCCACCCCTGTCATTCCCTCTCCCCCTCCATCATTCCATACCCCTCCCTCACCACCAGGCGTGCAGGAAGCTAGGTCGCTACGACCTGTCGGACTGTGAGCTGTATGCGTCGTGCGAGCCCTGCCCCATGTGCTTCGGAGCCATCCACCTCTCCAAGATCAAGGTGCATCCGTCCGAACTGCCATGTCATCTTTGAGGCATCTAAAGAATGTTGCTCTCCTTCTTCTTCCTCCTCATCATCTTTCAGCCATCTATATATACTGCCACCTCCCCTTCTTCTTGAGGCACCTAAAATAAGACTCGCTCTCAAGACTACCATCCCATCACATCCACCAGGAACATACATGCATTGCAATCTTACCCCATTTCAAGTGAAACTTTGACATGTACTCACCCCCATAAGCATCATAACCACTCGTTGCAGCTTCCCTCCCCGTTCGTCTTCACGTCCCCTGCTCCCTTCCTCACCCATCCCAAAATCTTGCGGACAGTGGCTGGTGCACGGCGCACAGCTGGCCATCGGTCGAACGACTCCATTGCTGACACCATTCGCAGCACCCCATACAACGAGAAGGCGAGTCTTTTAATCTCCTTCCCTTTCCTTCGCATCCCCCACCCCTCCCCAACAGCGGCTGGTGTACGGAGCGCAAGCAGAAGCAGCACTGGCTATTGGATTTGACGACTTTATTGCTGACGCCATCCGAGGCACGGCCTACTATCAGAAAGCGAGCCTGCAGATCCAGAAGGCAGAGGGGCACGTGGCCGCTGCTGCAGAGGAAGTGTTTGAAAACACGAAGTCCAAGTTCCAAATGTATTGAAGTCATTGCCAGATGTTCCACGACAAAGCGACCAAAACAACATCAATGAGATCTAGATCTATCCTGCTCCATCTTGCCCGTTTCATTAATATGTTCATATCTGTTTTCTTCTGTTTATGAGTCGAGTTTCAATTGTGAATATATATGTGATGTTGGATCAGATAAATTCACATCCTAGATGTACTCACGTTACTGTAGAGCGTTATTGCTATCTCGTTCAGCGGCGCTCACAGTAACGAGTTCGGCTAGGGTTTCAGCAGCGCGGGTTTTGCTCAAAACCTCTTTCCCCCATCCCCTCTTCCCCTCCAAAACCTCCTACCGTCTGCATTCAACCTTCCTTCTCGTTTCTCCTGCGATTCTGCAGTCTGTCTCCCGTCTGCTTTCGGGCTTGTCCAACACGAACGGCGCGCAGCACTGCCACAGGGAGCGCCTATCACTCTCTAGTCTTTAGCGGGACGCACCTCCCTGGCACCAAAGTGCTAGACCTTATCTGCCGCCCAGCCTATCGTTCCCCAATTGTTTAACCAATCCTTGTCCATCACCGCACCGCGCCATGGCTGCTTTAGCCCCCGCGCTGCTGAAGCCTGTAATGGACTTTAGGTTTCTGGACGAGGGCACAGGCGGGGACAAGAAGCGCAAGCGACAGAAGGAGGAGCGCGACGCGAAAGCCGCCGCCGAAGCCGCTGAGGCAGAGGCTGCGGCGGCGGCGCAACCGGGCGATATGGCTATTGACGACGACAACGCTGACGGCCAGCCGTCAGCTAAGCGGCAAGCCGTTCCCATGGCTGAAGACGAGAATCGGCCGTCGTTCGGCCGGCCGACTTACGACGGCGTAATTGCGGGGAAGGCGTCGGGTCGGAAGTGGAAAACCGTGCGAACGACGAGATCGTCCGCGTTAAGAGTCACGGGCCGGAAGGAGGTTTCGTTAGAAGAGAAGAGGAAGCAGCGAGAGCTGAAGAAGGCTTATAGGGAGCGGAAGGAGGAGTTAAAGGAGGAGATCAGGAGCAACAAGGTGGCGAAGCGCGCAGCGGCGCAGGAGAAGCAGAAGAGGAAAGAGGAGAACGCGTTAAAGGGCGCCGTGTTGCAACGTATAACGAACCCGAAGACGATCAAGAAGATGTCTAAGAAGCAAAGACAAAGCCTCGTGAAGGTTTAATGTATGTACATTGGCGGTTGAAGGTTTCTGGTATGTTGTTTCTGCAGTTTCGGTGTAACAATGTGAGAATATGTCGACGAGACAACGACAGCACCGCATGATCTTTTCGAAGGTTTTAGGATGACTGCTCGAAACCGGCGAGTGAAGGAGGGTGAAGGATCTGCTGCTGCTTGTGCTGCTACTGGCGCTACTGCTGGCGCTGGGTGTTACCTTCTCAGCTTCTTCTCGCCGAACTGAATAGCGCATGGGTTCCTTGAGGCTCATCGACATGCGCTGTAGCATTGAACTTGGAGGTTGAGTTTGTTGGGACCAATCGTTGTTCCACACTTGGAGGTTTCTCAAGGTTCCTTCAGAATTCGGACGGGAGGGTTCCTAGAGAATTCGGACGGGAGGTTTCCTTGAGAATTCCTCGGACGGTAGGCTTTGTGAAACCCTTACTGACGGCGCCGTCCGTAGCTGTTGAAGTCGAGACTCCCCGTCTGCCTCTACTTACGCCACGCGCTCTTGTTTTCTCCGTTCGTCACAAAGTGTATCTGTACGCTCGCCTTTGCTCCGCTGGTCCGCTGGTCCGCTGTTCTTCTACCACCTCGCCCTCCTTGCCTCAATGCTCCTCATCCTATCCCCTCCGGCCTCTTCCCATCCTCGTTCCATCCTCGTTCCATCCTCGTTCCATCCTCGTTCCATCCTCGTCCCATCCTCACCCAGCCTCTTTCCTTCCTCCCCCTGCCCGTTTCCCATGGTTGCAGCCTGCTGCCACACGCTTTTCACTCAATCTCCGTTCGCACTAGGTTCAAGTGCACCCTTTGAAAGTCCTGGAGAGCCGCTTTTAAGTCACTCTCTGGTTCCATTCGGCCGCACGTGCGCCTTGAGATTAGGAGAGGAGGACTCGGAGGGCAGAGGAGAGGCGGGGAGCAGGACATGGGAGGAAGGAGGGAGTGAGAGGAAGGAGGAAGTGAGAGGAGGGGGGAAAGTGAGGAGGGAGGAAAGTGAGAGGATGGTGGGAAGTGAGGGGAGGCAAGAGGGTGTACAGAGTGGTTCTGGGAGGTTTCAGAAGGTCAGGGTGTGATGTGGAGGAGGATGGCTGTGGAGGTGGGGTCCTCACCTTGAGCTAGAGGGTGGGGGAGGTGGGGTTGTAATGCAATAGACTGCAGCAGCATATGCCTTGCATGTTCCATGCTCAGTATGTAAAAAGCTTATGCCTATTCAGGGGAATGCTGTGTTAACAAGAGGAGACTTACCAATATTTAAGTGAGAAAGATGCACTCACAAGTGCAATTGTTCTTCTAGACTGTGTACTGTATGTCAAACATGTGTATTTGTCATGTTTGTATAGACTGTATAGAGTCACCTCTTAGAGGATACAAAACTTAGATATATTTGTGTGTATTTACCATTATTCAATTATTCTGATATGGTATCACGCGTAGGTAGGATCCCCCCCCCCCACCTACCGCTTCCGCTCATGCTCCCTAGCGCCCCTCCTGGGCCCCGTCGCGCTCCTCCCAGGCCCCGTCGCGCTCCTCCCAGGCCCCCTAGCGCCCCTCCTGGGCCCCGTCGCGCTCCTCCCAGGCCCCGTAGCGCCCCTCCTGGGCCTCGTCGCGCCCCTCCTGGGCTTCGTAGCGCCCCTGCCAGGCCCCGTCGCGCCCCTCCTGGGCTTCGTAGCGCCCCTGCCAGGCCCCGTCGCGCCCCTCCCAGGCCCCGTCGCGCTCCTCCCAGGCCCACTAGCGCCCCTCCTGGGACCCGTCGCGCTCCTCCCAGGTCCCGTAGCGCCCCGTCGCGCCCCTCCTGGGCCCCGTAGCGCCCCTCCTGGGCCTCGTAGCGCCCCTCCTGGGCTTCGTAGCGCCCCTCCTGGGCCCTGTAACGCCCTCCCAGGCCCCGTCGCGCCCCTCCCAGGCCCCGTCGCGCTCCTCCCAGGCCCCCTAGCGCCCCTCCTGGGCCCCGTCGCGCTCCTCCCAGGCCTCGTCGCGCCCCTCCTGGGCTCTGTCGCGCCCCTCCTGGGCCCCGTCGCGCTCCTTCCAGGCCCCGTAGCGCCCCTCCTGGGCTCTGTCGCGCCCCTCCTGGGCTCCGTAGCGCCCCTCCTGGGCCCTGTAGCGCCCCTCCTGGGCCCCGTCGCGCCCTCCTTGGGCCCTGTAGCGCCCCTCCTGGGCCCCGTCGCGCCCCTCCCAGGCCCCGTCGCGCCCCTCCCAGGCCCCGTAGCGCCCCTCCTGGGCCTCGTCGCGCCCCTCCTGGGCTTCGTAGCGTCTCTCCTGGGCCCCCCGTCGTGCCCCTCCTGGGCCCCGTAGCGCCCCTCCTGGGCCGGGTCGTACCCGTCGCCACAGCCCGGCCCCGTCGTGCCCGCCCGGCGCCGTCGCGCCCGCCCGACCCCGTCGCCGCCGCCCGGCCCCGTTGCGCCCGCCCGGCGCCGTCGCCGCCGCCCGGCCCCGTCGCGCCCGCCCGGCGCCGTCGCACCCTGCCCGGCCCCGTTGCGCTCGCCCGGCCCCGTCGCAGCCGCCCGGCCCCGTCGCAGCCGCCCGGCCCCGTCGCAGCGCCCGGCCCCGTCGCACCCCCCCCGTCGCACCCTGCCCGGCCCCGTCGCAGCCGCCCGGCCCCGTCGCACCAGCCCGGCCGCCGTCCCTCTCGCCCGGCCCCGTCGCACCGGCCCGGCCCTGCCGCACTCGCCCGGCCCCGTCGCCCCAGCCCGGCCCCGTCGCGCCCGCTCGGCCCCGTCGCCCCGTCCCGGCCCTGTCGCACCAGCCCGGCCCCGTCGCGCCCTCCCGGCCCCGTCGGGCCAGCCCCGGCCCCGTCCTCCTCACTGGTACGGTTCCCCCCCCCCCCCCCACCCCGCCCTGCTCCGTGCCGCCCTGCACCGCACTGCACCGCACAGTACCGCACTGCACCGCACTGCACCGCACTGTATCGCACTGCACCGCACCCTACCTAGCTGCACCGCCCTGCACAGCTCTGGACTGTTCCTGATGGCGGCGGAGCTTCGCTTCGACGCTGAAGGTCAGCCCCTAGAGTTCGAGGCGTGGCTTGCCGACCTCCGCCGCCAACTCACTGGCCAGCGGCAGGATGGTGAACCGCTTTCCGCACACCTTGACGGTACGCTCCCCTGCCCAGACCCTCCTGCTATTCTGCCCGCTGACCCCACACCCACTGAGCGTGAGTCTACTGCTGCCACTGCCCGTGCGCGCTCTGTCTGGCTTTCTCGCGATGCTGTCGCCCAGCTTGCCATTAGCAACGCCCTCCCCCCGTCCGAGCGTCCTCGCTTTAGGTCCCTCACCACTGCTCAGGCATACTTAGATGCTGTCATCAAGCGCTATTCCACCCCTCCGGCTGCCTCGGTGGGTCGCCTGATCCTCCCGCTGCTCTTTCCTGACCTTGCTTCGTTCCCCACTGTCTCTGACCTCGCTGCCCACGTGCGCTCGATAGAGGAGACCTGGCGCACCGCCTGCACTGACGCACAGCTTAGAGCCCACCAGCCGCCCATTACCTCTACCCTCTACCTGCTTGCCACCCGCCTCCCTGACCGCCTTGCTGTCGCCCGCGACCGCTTCCTTAGTGTTCACCCCGCAGACCTCACCCTCACTGACTTTGTCGACACCCTGACTGTGATAGAGACCCGTCACCGCTCCATCGCCCAGGCGAGCGGTGTCGTGCCGGTCCCTATCTTTCAGGGTTGTGCCCCCGCTCAGTGTACCTTCTCCGACGGCTCTGCCGCAGTGGCTGAGACTGCTGCTGCAGCGCAGGCCCGTTCTGGGAAGGGCCGCCGCCCCAAGGCTGGGCGCGGCGGAGGGGGCGGCGGGGGTGCGGGCGGGGGTAGTGGTGGGGTCGGGTCGCCTGGTGCTGGAGCGGACGAGGGGACCCTGCCCAGTCCAGCTGAGTCGCCGCCCCTGCAGTTGCAGCAGCCGCAGCAGCCGCCGCAGTCGCAGCCTTCGCAGCAGCCGCAGCAGCCGTCGCAGACGCGGCAGACGAGTGTTCTCCCGCCAGGGTGGCCCGGCGCTGGCAGTGGACGGGCGCGTGGTGGTGTGCCGCGTGGTGGCTCTGCCGGCGGGCGTTGTCAGTACCAGATCCAGACCGGTCCTCGCCGCGGCTTCGTTTGCGGTAAGATCGGTCACTCCACTCCCCGCTGCTTTCGTCGCCTGGACGACCTCTTTCGTCAGCGTTTCGGCCCGTCGCCAGACCTCCCGGACTGGCACAGTTTGCTTAGTCGTCAGATTCAGATCTTTGATATGGACATGGATGCCATTGTTTCTGCTCTGCATGTGATGTATGCTGATGACTCTAGTGTGCTTCCGACTTATTACTCACTGTTGCCTAGTGTAGGTGTGCCTAGCTTAGCCTCCCCTGCTGCGTCAGGCGTAGGATCCCCTGCTTTGTGTAGTCTTGGTGCTTCTGCCGTCGTTCCGTCGCCAGACCCCTTGGCTTCGCTTTCTTTCACCTTGGACTCTGGCGCCTCTCGGTGTTTCTTTCGCGACTCCACCACCCTGACGCCGCTTCCTGTTCCTGCTGCCGTTTCTCTTGCTGACCCCTCCGGCGGTCCGGTAGTCGCCCGCAGTTCCACCACCCTTCCCTGTCCGGCGGTTCCTTCGGGCTCTCTTACAGGTCTGCATATCCCCTCGTTCTCCAGGAACCTAGTTGGTGTCGGCTGCCTCCAGGACCTTGGCGTCACCACTACGTTCCCTGGTCACGAGCGGTATGCTGTCTGTACCGAGGCCGCCACTGGTGCCCCCCTGTCCACGTTCCCCCAGGACCCGGTGTCCGGCCTGTTCACTCTGGACACCGTGCCCCCCCCGGCTGGAGCGCCCCCTCAGGTGGCTGTGTCTACCCAGGTTGCTGCTACCTGCTCCTGTCGCTCCCTCACTCACCCGACCCTCCTATGGCACCACCGCCTAGGTCACCCTGCGCTCCCGCGTCTGCGTCACATGTCCCAGCACGGTCTTGTCCTTGGTCTCCCAGGTTCACTCCCCGCGTTTCCCTCCTCCCCAGCTCCACCTTGCACGCCTTGTGTCGAGGGTCGGCTTCGCCGTGCCCCTCACTCCTCCTCGTTCCCCCCTACCGCCGCGCCGCTGCAGACCCTGCACCTGGACGTCTGGGGCCCCGCCCCCGTCCCTGGGCCGCGTCGCGAGCGCTACTTCCTTGTGCTTGTCGACGACTTCACTCGTTACACCACAGTCTTTCCCCTGGAGCGCAAGGCCGACGTGCCTGGCGCCCTCATCCCCTGGCTTGTCTCTGCGCGTGTCCACCGCGGTCTCCCTGTCTTGCGTCTTCACTCAGACCGTGGTGGCGAGTTTGCCTCAGGTGTCCTTGGTCGCTTTTGTCGTGCGGAGGGCATCACCCAGACGTTCACCCTACCGGACTCCCCACAGCAGAATGGGGTCGCTGAGCGACGCATCGGCTTGGTCATGGAGGTCGCTCGCACCTCCATGGTCCATGCCGGTGCACCCCATTTTCTGTGGCCGTTCGCTGTGCGCAACGCTTCTCACCAGCTTAACCTGTGGCCGCACCCTCATCAGCCGCAGGTTTCGCCGACCCGTCTGTGGACTGGGTCTCCTGGTGATGCGTCTGCGTTCCACGTCTGGGGCTGCCTTGCTCACGTCCGTGCCTCCGGCACGGACAAGCTCACTGCCCGCACCCTTCCCTGCGTCTTCCTCGGTTTTCCCCTTGACGCGTCCGACTGGCACTTTTACCACCCGCCGTCTCACCGCTTCTTTCACTCTCGTGACGTCACCTTTGACGAGTCCGTCTCCTACTACCGCCGCTTCCCCCACCGTGGTCCCCCGGTTACCCCCCCCCTGTTCCTGGTCACCCCTTCCCCGGTAGTCCCTGCCCCTCCTCCTCCTCCTCCCCATCCCGCCCCCTCTGGTGTCTCCCACGTCACCCCCCTTCCGTCCGTGGACCCGGTTGAGGAGTCTTCTGACTCTGGTGGCCCTCCGGTGCAGTCCTCGCCGGCCGCCCCTCCCCAGGTGTCCCCTCCCCAGTCCCCTCCTCCGCCGTCCCTGCCGCCACTGCAGCCGTCACCGTCGCCGCCGCCGCCGCTGCCGCCGCAGTCGCAGCCCCCGTTCGCTGACTCTGGGGGTGCTCGTCCCGGTCGCCCTGAGGGTGGTCCCTCTGGGGGTGCGGGTGTGGAGAGTGCCGGTGGTAGCCGAGGAGCAGCTTGCGGTCCAGATGTCGCCGTTGTGCCGCCGCAGCAGCAGTCCCCGCCGGTGTCCGCCCTTCGCCTGCTCGGCCTTCCGTCCCCCGACCCTGCGTCGGTTCCTCCCCGACCGTCTCCTCCTCTTCCTGTCTACGGCCCTGTTTTCCCTCCGCCGGACTCGTCCCCGGCCCGTCTCCCCCTCGTTCCCCTCCTCTGTCCCCTCCCCTGTCTCCTGACCCGACTCCTCCATCGCACGTCTGGTCTCACCGTCCCTCCCGTGCTCGTCCTGCCTCGCCTGTCCTGCGCTCCCACCCTATGTTGCTTCGTTCACACGCGTCTCGTCCTCCCCTTCTGCCGTCGCCTCCTCCGTCCTCCCTTGTTGTTGCGCCCCCCCCGCTGTCCGACTACCTTCGTGCCGCTCGTCCTCTCGTTCCTCGGGTCCTTGCCTCTCTCGTTACCGACCCGTCTATTCCAGTCTCGTGCCTTGACGCTCTTGTCGCTGCTGTCGCTGACTTCGCCTCTACCCGCCGCCTTGACTACGCCACCGCTCTGGTCTCTGACCCTGCCTGTCCTCCGTCTGTCGGGGGTGCTCCTGCCCTTGGCAGTGACGTCCTGGAGGACCGCCAATTCGAGCTTGCTTTCCTCTCCGAGGCTGCTCCCCATCTCTGTTCCATGCTGCTAGTCCCTGAGGGTGACCCAGACGCTTTCGACATCCCGACCCCTCGCACTTACGCTGAGGCGACTTCGGGACCCTGGGCCTCGCAGTGGATAGCTGCCATGGAGCAGGAGATGGCATCTTGGAGATCCACCGGCACCTTCGTCGACGCAGTTCCCCCACCTGGGGTGAACGTAGTCGATGGCCGCTGGCTCTTCAAGGTGAAGCGCCCTCCTGGAGAGCCGCCTGTCTTCAAGGCGCGCTATGTGGCTAGAGGCTTCAGTCAGCGTGAGGGGGTGGACTTCTTCCAGACCTTCGCTCCGACCCCGAAGATGACTACTCTTCGGGTTCTGTTACACCTAGCTGCTCAGCGTGACTACGAGCTTCACTCCCTTGACTTCTCCACTGCCTTCCTTCAGGGCAGCCTACACGAGCAGGTCTACCTGCGCCGCCCTCCGGGCTTTACTGGCACCTTCCCTCCTGAGACCCAGTGGCTCCTGCGGCGCCCCGTCTACGGCCTGCGCCAGGCTCCCCGTGAGTGGCACGACACTCTGCGTGCTACGCTTGCTGACCTGCAGTTCTTTCCGTCTTCTGCAGACCCTTCACTCTTCGTTCGTGCTGGCCAGACTCCGTTCTACATCCTCGTTTACGTCGACGACCTGGTCTTTGCCACAGCAGACAGGGACGCAGTGGCCTCCGTGAAGGCAGAGCTGCTGAAGAGACACACGTGCACTGACCTTGGAGAACTGCGTCGTTACCTTGGCTTGCAGATCTCCAGGGACAGAGCTGCGCGCACCATCACCCTGACTCAGTCACACTTGGTGCGCCAGGTCCTTCAGAGGTTCAGCCTTCAGTTCTCCTCTACACAGCCCACCCCTCTGCCTGTAGACCACAGGCTCTCCGTTCCAGTGCCTGAGGAGTTGGTAGAGCCCAGCGGCCCCTACGCAGAGCTGGTGGGTTGCCTCATGTACCTGATGACTTGCACTCGCCCAGATCTCGCATACCCTCTCAGCATCCTGGCTCGCTTTGTGGCCACAGGTAGACACCGACCGCAGCACTGGTCTGCTGCTAAGAGGGTTTTGCGTTATCTTGCTAGTACATCGGGCATGGGGTTAGTGCTAGGAGGACGCAGGCCAGCGGTCCTTACTGGGCACACAGACGCTTCGTGGGCAGACGACGCTGAGACACTCCGGTCTACCCAGGGCTACTGCTTCAGCCTTGGCTCAGGTGCCGTCTCGTGGAGAGCTACTCGCTCCTCGTCTGTTGCACAGTCCAGCTGTGAGGCTGAGATCTACGCCGGTGCCATGGCGGCACAGGAGCTCCGCTGGCTGACCTTCTTGCTCACTGACTTAGGTGAGCGGCCTAGCTCTGCCCCGGTCCTGTTCGCTGACAACAGGGCCATGATCCTCCTGTGTCAGGAGCCTCGACTCGAGGGCAGAGCGAAGCACATTCAGCTGCGGTACTTCCTCCTGCGTGAGCTACAGCAGCGACGTCAGGCTCGCGTAGTACACTTGGCCTCAGGTGCCAACACGGCTGATATCTTTACGAAGGCGCTTGCGCCTAAAGATCATCAGCGGCACTGTGTACAGCTTGGTCTAGTTCCTGTAGCCTCTCACTTGCTAGGACCTTGACTTTGTACTGTCCTTTATATGTATACTCAGACTGGACTTGTGTCCTCTCCCAGTGGCTGGACTAGTAGTGCCGCCCTGCTCTTTTGCTTGCCTTGTCTGTACTCCTTCTGACCGGTCGCTCAGACCCTTGCCTCAGAGGTTGGACTAGTAGTGCCGCCCTGAGCTGCTTGTTTAGGGTATTCCCCTATGCAGTCTAGGGGGTGTGTCAAACATGTGTATTTGTCATGTTTGTATAGACTGTATAGAGTCACCTCTTAGAGGATACAAAACTTAGATATATTTGTGTGTACACTCACTTTACCATTATTCAATTATTCTGATACTGTATTGTACCGTAATTCCCCCGTATAAAACACCCGCCGGAATTAAGCTCCCCCGGGTAGCTTGAGCGGGTATGGGTGTTTAATTTTTCTGGATATACACAACACCCTACTCTCGGACGTGAAAACATTTGAACACCCCCCTGCCACTAGAATCTCCATTTCTAGCAGGAAATGACAGAATTTCGTGTTGCGTCGTTCCGCGGCTCAATCGCAAAAAAAAACTGCTCGCGCCGAAAATTTACTGTACAGATTCCCGCGTGTCGGAAACAATGTCGCCTGAACAAAGGTTTTGAAACATGCCCATGAATCTCGGCAGGCTGAACCTGACGTTGCACCTTATGGAACAGCACTAAAATATTTCGCGTCAGAATTCGCGACACTGTAGCTCGCGAGCCTGGGAAGGTTCCCTGGGAAGAGGCTACGCTCTTAGGTAGGAGACGAATCTGCCCGAAAGAAAAAAAAATCGACGAATACAAATCCGAAAGTTTGAGACTGTACTCGACTTTCGCGCGTCCCGCCAAATTAAGCGTGTGCTCATTGGTTGTTCTGACAGCATCCTCCCTGACACTGCATGCTCACTGCCAATGTGGCATGCAGATCGGGAATATCGTCCAGTATGCAATGAGGTGACCAAAAGTGGGTATCTGACTCAAATGAATGTGGTGAAACATGCACACTTGAATTCCAATTATAAAAACCATATGCACATTCCATAACTCCTAGGTGTTTTTATTTTTTTGGCCTTTAATTACACCCAGCCCAAATTTTTGCTGCATTTTTATTAACACAACAGGGTGCTTTATACGGGGGATTACGGTAAGAGTGACTATCCTCTTACCGGTTCCACCACTACGTGCTTTATGTCAAATGTAACTTAGGTCGTTACTGTAGACTATATTGGATTGTGCCTTAGAGCGTACAACACCCTGGTCTACATACCCTTGTACTCACACATTCTAGTTTACTTATTCATTCTGATATGGTATCATAGTAGGTTAGGCCCCCCCCTAGCCCGCCCACGCTTCCGCCCCTAGGCCCTAGCCGCCGTCTTGCCCCTCTCCTAGCCGGCCCCCTGGCCGTCGCGCCCGTCCCCAGCCGGCCCCCTGGCCGTCGCGCCCGTCCCTAGCTGGCCCCCTGGCCGTTCGCGCCCGTCCCTAGCCGCCCTCCTGGCCATCGCGCCCGCCCCTAGCCGGCCCCAGGCCGTTCGCGACCGTCCCTCGCCGGGCCCCTAGCCGTCGCGCTTGTCCCTAGCCAGCCCCCTGGCCGTCGCGCCCGTCCCTAGCCGCCCCCCTGGCCGTTCGCGCCCGTCCCTAGCCGGCCCCCTGGCCGTTCGCGACCGTCCCTAGCCGGCCCCCTGGCCGTCGCGCCCGTCCCTAGCCGGCCCCCTGGCCGTCGCGCCCGTCCCTAGCCGGCCCCCCGGCCGTTCGCAACCGTCCCTAGCCGGCCCAGTGGCCGTCACGTCCGTCACTAGCCGGCCCCCTGGCCGTTGCGCCCGTCTCTAGCCGGCCCCCTGGCCGTCGCGCCCGTCCCTAGCCGGCCCCCTGGCCGTCGCGCCCGTCCCTAGCTGGCCCCCTGGCCGTTCGCGCCCGTCCCTAGCCGCCCCCCTGGCCGTCGCGCCCACCCCTAGCCGTCCCCCTGGCCGTTCGCGACCATCCCTAGCCGGCCCCCTGGCCGTCGCGCCCGTCCCTAGCCGCCCCCCTGGCCGTCGCGCCCGTCCCTAACCGGCCCCCTGGCCGTCGAGGCCGCCCCTAGCTGCCATCGCGGCCGCTTTCAGCCGGCTCACGGCCGCCCCTCGCCGTCGCACCAGCTCCTAGCCGCCCCTCCCCCCCGCTGCCGCCGTTTGCTGGCCCCTCGCGTCCGTCGCCCGTCGGCCCGCCCTGGCATTCGCGTCGTCGCCAGCCCGCCGCCGCCTCGGGGTCGGCCCGTTCTTCCCGACCAGCACCGCCCTGCGAACCCCCGGTACCGGACTACACCGCCTTGCGCCGCACTGCACCTCACTGTACCATACTGCACCGCACTGTACCGTACTGCACCGCACTGTACCGCACTGTACTGCACTGTACTGCACTGCACCGCACTGCATCGCACTGCACCGCACTGTACCGCGCCGCACCGCACTGTACCGCACTGCGCCACACTGCACCGCAATGTACTGCTCTCCACTCCCCTCTATTGTCACTGATGGCGGATGTGCTTCGCTTTGACGCTGAGGGCCAGCCGATTGAGTTTGATGTGTGGCTTGCTGATCTCCGTCGCCACCTCACTGGTCAGCGGCAGGATGGCCACTCTCTGTCTGTCCATCTTGATGGTACTCTCCCCTGCCCTGACCCCCCCGCTGAACTGTCTCCTGATCCCTCGCCCGCTGAGCATGAGTCCACTGCGGCCGCTGCCCTTGCTCACTCTGTCTGGCTGTACCGTGACGCTGTCGCACAGCTGGCTATAAGCAATGCCCTCCCCCTGTCCGAGCGACATCGCTTCAGGTATATCACCACTGCCCAGGCTTTCCTAGATGCTGTTGTCCAGCGCTATTCCACCCTGCCTGCTGCCTTGGTAGGTCGCCTGATCCTCCCCATACTCTTCCCTGACCTTGCGTTGTTCCCCACTGTCACCGACCGGGCCGCTCACCTGCGCACTATAGACGAGACCTGGTGTGCTGCCTGCACTCCCACACAGCTTCTAGCCCACCAGCCGCCCCTCACCTCTACTCTCTACCTGGTAGCCACCCGCCTTCCTGACCGTCTTGCCACTGCCCGTGACCACTTCCTTAGCGTCCACCCCGCAGACCTCACCCTCACTGACTTTGTTGACACCCTGTCCGCTATAGAGGCCCGCCACCGCTCTATTGCTCAGACCAGCGGTACTGTGCCGGTCCCTATCTTTCAGGGTTGCGCCCCCGCTCATTGCACCTTCTCCGACGGTTCTGCTGCTGTGGCTGAGACTGCCGCTGCAGCACAGGTCCGTCCGGGGAAGGGTCGCCGCCCCAAGGCTGGGTGTGGCGGCGGGGGTGGGGGTGCAGATTTGGGTGGTGCTGGAGCTGGGTCTCCTGGTGGTGGTGCAGACGAGGGGACCCTGCCAGGTGCAGCCGAGCAGCCATCTCAGCAGCCGGACTCGCGTCAGCCGCAGCAGCCGCAGCAGTCGCAGTCGCAGCAGAGACGGGCGAGTGGTCTCCCGCTAGGGTGGCCTGGCGCTGGTGGTGGCGGTGTGCGTGGTGAGCTGCCAGGTGGTGGTTCGGGTGACGCGCGCCGTCAATACTTGCTCCAGACCGGTCCTCGCTGTGGCTTAGTTTGCGGTAAGATCGGTCACACCTTCGTCCGTTGTTTCCATCGCCTAGACGACCTGTTTCGCCAGCGTTTCGGCCCGTTGCCCGAGCTCCCAGACTGGCACAGTTTGCTTCGTCGTAGGGTTCAGATTTTTGATCTGTATATGGATGAGATTGTTACTGCTCTGCATGTGATGTATGCTGATGACTCTAGTGTGCTTCCGTCTTATTACCCCTTGTTGCCTAATGTAGGTGTGCCTTGCTTAGACTCCCCTGCTGCGTCAGGCGTAGGATCCCCTGCTTTGTTTAGCCTTGGTGCTTCTGTTGCTGCTTCGCCTCCGGCCGCCACTGCTGCACTCTCCTTCACTCTCGACTCTGGCGCTTCCCGGTGCTTCTTCCGGGACTCCACCACGTTGACACCGCTTCCTGTCCCTGCCGCAGTCTCTCTTACTGACCCCTCCTCCGGCCCAGTAGTCGCCCGCAGTTCCACCACCCTCCCCTGCCCGGCGTTTCCTTCGGGCTCCCTCACAGGACTGCACATCCCCTCGTTCTCCAGGAACCTAGTTGGTGTCGGCTGCCTTCAGGACCTTGGCGCCACCTTTACGGAGACGAGCGGTACGCTGTCTATACTGAGGCCGCCACTGGTGCCCCCCTGTCCACGTTCCCATGGGACCCGGCGTCTGGTCTTTTCACACTGGAACGGTGACCCCCTTGGCTGGGACCCCCCCTCAGGTGACTGCGTCTCCCCCGGTTGCTACTGCCTGTTCCTGTCGGTCTCTTAATCACCCGACTCTTCTCTGGCACCACCGCCTAGGTCACCCTGCGCTCCCGCGTCTGTGTCACATGTTACAGCACGATCTCGTCCTAGGCATCCCCGGGTCGTTCCCCCCCCCTGTTCCTGGTCACCCCTTCCCCGGTCGTCGCCGCCCCTCCTCCTCCCCCTCCCTGTCTTGCTCCCACGTCACCCCATTTACGTCGATTGTCCCGGATGAGGAGTCTGCTGACTCTGGTGGTCCTGCGGCGCAGTCCTCGCCGCCTGCCCCTTCTCAGGTGTCTCCTCCTCCGCCACCTCCGCAGCCGCCATCGCCACCCCTGTCACAGCCGTCGTCACCGCCGCCGCCGCGGCCGCCGCAGCCGTCGTTGCAGCCGCCGCCGCTGCAGCCGTCGCCGCAGCAGTTCGTTGCCTCTGGGGGTGTTGGATTTCGGGTGGGTACTAGTCCTGGGACTCCTATCGGAGCTTGTCCCGGCGGGCCTGGGGTTGGTACCAGTGCTCGAGGGGTTCTAAGCTCTAGGGGTGTTCCTTCTGGGGGTGCTGGCGTGGAGTGTTCTGGAGGTAGCCGCCAGGCAGCTTGCGGTCCCGGTGTCGGTGTCACACCGCCACCGCAGTAGTCCCCGCCGGTGTCCGCTCTTCGCCTGCTTGGCCTTCCGTCCCCTGACCCCGTGCCTGTGCCTCCTCCTCCTCCTGTCTACGGCCCTGTGTTCCCTCCTCCGGACTCGTCTCCGGCCCGTTTCCCCCCTCGTTCCCCTCTTGTGTCCCCTCCTCTGTCTCCTGACCCGACTCCTCCGTCTCACGTCTGGCCTCGCCGTCCCTCCCGTGCTCAACCTGTCTCCCCTGTCTCGCGCTCTCACCCTATGTTGTTTCGTTCCCACGCGTCTCGTTCTCCCCTTCTCCCGTCGCCCCCTCCGTCCTCCCTTGTCGTTGCTCCCCCCCCTCTGTCTGACTACCTGCGTGCCGCTCGTCCTCTTGTTCCTCGGGTCCTTGCCTCTCTCCTTGCCGACCCGTCTGTTCCGGTTTCGAGCCTTGACGCCCTTGTCGTTGCGGTCGCTGACTTTGCCTCTACCCGCCGCCTTGACTACACCACCGCTCTGGTCTCTGACACTGCCTGTCCTCCGTCTATC